GGGCCACCAGTGACCCTGAGACTGTAGCGATGTATTAATTGCCACAGGAACAAGTAGTGGTTGCCAAGCAATATTATGACTTGGATGTAGTGTGTATACACACACAAACACACACAGTCTTCATAGGCTGGGAGATTAATCGTTCTCATAAAAAAAGATGACAGAATAAGAATACACAAATATTCTTATCTATCTTCTCTACCCTATAAATATGTTTCCTTTCCATGAAATAGATGAATTGTGAAACATCTATAGGGAATCCAAAGGACATCAGGAACCCCACTCAAAACATTAGCTCTTCTAAACACAATGCATCTATTCATAAGAGTAACATATAGAAGACGGGAATAAAAAAGACTAGAGTTCATTAAGGCTTAATCTCCCTTGATTCATTCGGAAATTAGTGATACTGGGAGCCACGATGCACACAGAACACACATTTTTCCTTCCTAAAATCATTTCCAGTTTAAATAGGCTCACATGGTCCAAAAAACACCTTCCTTGCAGAGCATCTTGCCTCAGCAAAATATTACTTTGCTTCCCCTAATATCCTTGTGCCTGCAATTGTAAAGCATGGCTTGGCAGATAGTATTGGTAATGGTTTTGGAGTGAATTGAATACCTGAACCAGAGTGTTGCCAAATGGCTAGATGTTAACCTGAGTGAGGTCTCTGTGGTTGGACCTTGGGGCTGTGTCATTGACCCTATCCAGTTTAGATGAAAACATGTGAGCTAGACATCTTCAGTTTCCCCCTCCAGATCCATTCCATACCTTCTCCACCCTGCTCTGTGCCCTGCGAGGTTGGCCTCTTCGGGCTGTATGGATAGCTCCCTGTCCCTCTGGCTTTAGTTTGGATTTGGCCAATGGGGAGCTCTGGTGGGATAACAGAGAGAGGAAAGAGACAGGTTGGGATATTCTCCCAGTCCCCTCCCTACAAGATTGCCTCAGGCTGGCAGTGTCCCTTGTCTAAAGGCCATAGGCCCTGTCAGGTGGCAGTCTCCACATGGTATCACCTGATGGCTTCCTCCCCTTCCCTTAAGGCTTATGGGTTGCAGGGGTGGTGGGATCCCACAAAAGCCACACCTTTGTAAATAGTCCCTCTGTTTCACCCTCCATCTCTCTGTATATTACCTAATTTGAGTGCTCTACCTATTTCCTGCCGGGACCCTAACTGAATCAAAGGTGTAATACTCATGTTGGTAGATGACAAAAAATAAATACTAGTCCAATTAAAGAAAAGTATAAACCAATAAATAGTATAGCTATAGTAAAAATCATGAAGGTGGCACCCTACAGGGAAATAGTGCACCAGGCTCTGCTGTGTCTTCCCAGCTCCACTGCACTGCCTCTCCAGAGGCTCCGTGGCATTCAGGGAACTGATGGAGGAAACTGACACAGGGGGCATAATGGGCATAAAAACCTGCCTGCCAGTGTCTCAGCCTCTATATCTTCCCTCTTTCAGGTGCAGAGGTCACTGGACCTTTTCCTACTGCCCTAGTCTGTCAAATGCAGGCTCAGCCTGATCCCAGTCTCGATCGAATCCTAATCTTAGACCTAGCTTTGGCCGCCCTCACCAAGGATTAGGATCAGGACCCTGGTCTTCTACCCAGTGATTGGGTTTTCCCCTTGTGAACAGACTGTCCCAATGTTGACCGCCTCATCACCTTGGAGACCCCATTTTCCAGATCAAGAATGCCAACAGCTTGACTGGATGAGCACTCAATGATGGTTGCCACTTCCCTTAAAGATGGCAGACAGCCTGCTGGACTAAACTTTCGTGCATGCGTGCTGCTGAATTTGCCTTCTAACATTTGCTCAGCGCAGGTGGGTGGGTCCTGGGCCTTCTCAACTAGCCTTGGTAGACTCCAGACTTAGATGTTTCAAGGCTACTGCCTTTGTTCAAAAAACTTTGGTCACTCCCTTATTGGAACAGATTTCAAAGTTAATTTATGGGATTTTTAAGTTACCAGAAGATCATTCTCAATATTCTAATGGTCATCTTTAGTCATATTTGATTTTTTACCTTAAAGGATTATCTCCCACCTTACT